CGCGAGAGCAGCGACCTCCAACGGCGCTCTCGTCAACGGCGCGCGATATTCAGCCCCAATTAAATGGCCCCGCAGCGAGGTGCCCATTAATGGAGGAAGTGTCGATGTTTCGGAGCCGACTACGTAACAAGGAGGCGTCTTTGTCGGGTTTCTACGAAACGCATGCGCAAGGCCAAGAGCGGATACGATTCCACGCATGCGCGCTACACTGCAACCGTTCGCAATTACGCGGCCAATTTTTATTAACGACCCACTTCTTCGAATGGCGCTCTGCCGTAGCTGTTCTCTGTCTCCTGCACAGGTGCGCGCGTGTGTCCACGCGTTGGCTGTTCAACAGTCGACACCGGCGCGGTTACTGGAATTCGCGCGCTAGAAGATGAACGGCTTTTATAGATTAAAGAGCGGGGCTTTGCACGCTGTTAGGTCGACATCTGCTGCGGACGTAGGGGCCACTTTAAGCTTATTAGAGAACCGTAAAGCGTTTTCCGTCGCAGGTACTTTCGTCTGTAATTCGGCACCTATATGAAAGTTGAAAGTTGAAATTTATTTCACCACAACGATACACCGTGATTTACACAAACAAGAAACAATTGTGGCATGGAAAGTAGGAAAAAAGCTGCGCTATAGCAGCTTGACTAGCCCCACCTCCCATATAAGCATGATTCCTCGCCCGAACGTTATACCAGAGGTATACGTACCTTGCTCCGCCACTACGTACAAACGCCGGTCATGCGAACGAAGCAAAAGTTGTGTAGATTGACATCTATAGCGTCATCGACATTAAATCAACGCGCTCAAGGGGCATTTTAGCCATACGACACAGGATGTACTGCTAACGCTGTTGATATATGGTTGTGTCAAATCACTTATGCAGCGTATCATATGTAACTTTCGTTTTGAAAACAGGCGCTATTCTTCATAAGGAGTTAAACTCCCTAGTTCTTCCTCACTATACTCCGCACCGTTCCCTGTGTTGAAGCGCATTTTTTATTTTTTTGTATGTGAAAATCATGTCCAAACAAAAAGGCAGCTTTCTGTGCATATCCAAGTACAAAAAAGAAAAAAAAAGGCCAAGCGATGAGCAGAAAACTTAACTGAAAGCTTTTCTTACTTTTTTTTTTTCTGCCAAGTGACTCACTGGCGCTTTGAGCTTGACGCTACACCAGCCGCGACTGCGACTGCATTGTTTTACCTTTATACTTGCGGGAATATTAGATGACAGTTCAGGATCGACTCCATGCTCTTTTGTTAATTGTTTAAGGTATCGTATTCTATGAAAGCTCAGCTGTATTCGACTTAGAACAGTACTACGGTACTCGGGTCCAAGCAAAGATATTAAGTACAAGTAAATTTTGATATGCCGGGTGCCGTCATGTAGTGCGCAAATGCAAACCGCAATGAATACAATGGTATAGTTTGGTAGTCGAATCGAAAAGGACCAGTCAAAAGATGCCAACCCCAGCCTTTTCTTTTGACACAGATGCATCAGTCGCAATGATATTGCTTATCTACAGGTGAGCTAGATAATCTGCTAAGTGGTTATATAAGTACCTATGTGCCAGTTGTTTCGCGTTATGAGAAAATATATCATCGAATTGTATGCTATAAGCATTGACGTCACCTATTGGGCCAATGTTTAATTTTTATATTCAGTTGCTATAGCATCGCTTGTGCAAATATGATTTGTGGGGTGTGTAGCTGCGACCAATGTGTTTCGAAGAATAAATTTGGTTCTTTACTGAAAACGTGAGATGAGCGTCTTCGGTGAGAACTATATATATCTTTGTCTAATCTTGTCTCACCTTCATGCATTTGTCTTCTCTGGGAATCCAGTCAGTTACTCGACGAGTGGTCATCCAAATAGGTGCAACTTGCCCGGCCCATGTCCATTTCCTCTTTTTGATTTTAGCAATGATATCATCAACCCCAGTTTGTTTCCTGACCCACTCCGTTATCTTTTTGTCTCTTAAGGTTACACCTATCATTTTACCTTCCATCACTCGCTGCGCCGTCCTCAATTTAAGCTGAAGCCACTTTGTAAGCCTCCAAGTTTCTGCTCCGTAGGTAAGTGCTTGCAAGATGCAGCTGTTATATACCTTCCTCTTAAGGGTTAGTGAAAGATTACCATTCATGATTTGAGAATGCTTGCCGAATGTGATCCACCCCATCTTATTCTTCAAGTTATTTAACTCTCATGGTTCGGCTCCGTGGTTTCTAGCTGACCTAAGCAGACATGTTCCTTTACAACTTCCAGTGTCTCTCCACCTATCGCAAAGTGCTGTTTTCTGCCGAGACTGTTGCACATTACGTTTTGTGCATATTGATTTTCAAACCTACTTTTCTGCTTTCCATGTCAAGTTCTATAATCAGCTGTAATTTGTCTCATCAGAAAGGACAATTGGGTGAGTTGGTGCACTTCCATCTTTACTGGAAAAATTATGACACAAGGAAAAAAATGCGCGATAAAACGTAAGAGTATATTCATTGAGTGCCGAACCAATGCAGTATACAAGATACCATGTTCTTGCAATAAGGCTAACATTGGGCAAACTATAGCCAATGCGTCAGTATAAGAATCAGGCAGCATGCGCGTAATGACACAGGTTCTCATTTGGCCAATAATTGTCAAAGAAATGGGTGTAATCCTTATTTTAATAAGACGGAAATTCTACATCGCCAGAAAGACCAACGGTCCTGAGAAATCGTGGAAGCTTTTTATATGTCACTGGGAGGTGATATACTTGCATGCATCAGCCAGCCTTCCCTAACACTATCAGGTGCAGAAGTTTCATATCACAGATAGCTTGCACGTTTCATCTGCCACATAGCGTTTTGTAAAGTTTTGTCACCTTGAGCTTGCGCGATGGTTCTTTTTTATGTCTTTGCTTTGCTTTTTCAGATGTTATATATTCCGCTTCTTTTTGGAATAAACTTTAGTTGCTAGTCAGCGCTGTAGTTTGTCTTTTCTATCCCGTCCCTCTTTTCGTCACGCTAATATTTGTTTAAGATGTAATTTTTCCCCTGAGTTACTCATCAAGGCTATGTCATCAGCGAATCACAGGCTACAAAAATACTTTCTATTAACTCTTATCCCTAACTCTTCCCAGTCTAGGGTCCTGGAAAGCTCCTGTAAACACGAGGTTGATAGCATTGGAGAGATCGTGTCTACCTGCTTTACACCCTTATTTAGTGAGATTCTGTCGCTTTCTTTACGGAGAACTATGGTGGCTGTGGATCCACTGTAGATTTCTTCCAGTGCGTTTATGTATGGTTTTTCAATGCCCTGATTTCGTAGTACATGCATTACTGCTGATGTCTCGACTGAGTGAAACGCCTTATCATAAACTATGAAGGCTATGTATAGAGGTTGATTGTATTCCACGAATTTCTTTATTACCTAATTGACAGTATGAATATGGTCTATTGTGGGGCAGTCTCTACGAAATACCTCTTGGTCTCTTGGCTGATTGAACTCCAATGTAATTTTTGTAAATAGTTTGTAGAGAACGGACAGTAAGCTGATCGGCCTGTAGTTTTTCAAGTTCTTGACGTCTTAAAGTACAGTCACTAGACAGGGCACTGGCAAACTATCTCAGGAGACGAAAAATCCGATTAAGAAACGACAAACCATGAATGCCTCAAATGCAACCGACAAAATTGGGCTAATGGACCTTTCGAAATTAATCAACTGGCGGAAGGTGGCCGACATGAGAAGGTAGGACATGAAGAGAATTGAGTAGGCTGTAAAGAGCGGCAGAAGCAAAAGAAACTGTGAAGGCAAACTTGTGCACAGGCCGAAATTAGATGTATATATGCATTGAGGAACAAAGAAGGCACTGTCATAACCAATATCGATAGCATAGTCGAGGCGGCAGAGGAGTTCTACAAAGAGCCGTAGAGACGCCAAAACAACCAGGATTATATCGTTAGAAACAATAATAGTCCAGAGGAATTCCACATTCTACCAGTAAAGACAGGGGAATTAAGGAAATCCCTAGAAGGAATGCAAAGAGGCAAAGCCGCTGGTGAGGACAAGGTAACGAACCTCCTGAAAGGTGGCGGAGAATTTGTGTTAGAAGAACTGGCCACCTCATATAGGAAGCTTCTCTTGACAAAGAAGGGTACCAAAATCTCGGAAGGACGTGACCACCACGGCCAGGATCAAACCCGCGACCTTTGGGTCCGCAGCCGAGCACCGCTACACCACAGCGGCGGACCCTAATCTGTGAAGCAAAATTAAAATGCATCACTCTGCCCCAGGACTTTAATACTATAATTTCGAGTTGTTGTGAAGCACGTGTGTTCGTGTTGGTGATAGCAAGAGACAGCACTCGCCTCACCGCGGTGGTCTAGTGGCTAAGTACTCGGCTGCTGACCCGCAGGTCACGGGATCGAATCCCAGCTGCGGCGGCTGCATTTTCGATGGAGGCGAAAATGCTGTAGGCCCGTGTGCTCAGATGGGTGCACGTTAAAGAACACCGGGTGCTCGAAATTCTTGGAGTCCTCTACTACGGCATCTCTCATAATCACATGGTGCTTTTGGGATGTTAAACACCACATATCAATCAATCAGAGACAGTACTCGAAAAAACAAAGCTGTTTGAATCAAGCGCCTTAAAGGCCTCTTGGCCATGATGATGCTGTCGCTTGTGGTCGGTTGAACAGGCACAAGCTCTCAAGAACGTAGCTAAGTATAAATTGACGTCGCATAATCCGTTGTTAACACAAACACGTAATATGTTTTAAAAAAGTGATTAGAATTATTTTGTTCTTCTACTAAATTCTAGCTTGTTTCTTGAAAACCGCAAAAAATAGTATTTTGGTGTTTTTTGTTCCACAAAAACTGCTTTAATATTATTGTTTTATTTTGCATAGTAATTTGGTTTCACAAAGCATTATTATGTTGTAAAACTTGGCACAGTTTTGTCTGTTAACATACCGTAATACTAGCTATTTACGTGCGCCCTCTAGTAGAACATTGGAGCTAAACAAGTGTTTGGCGCACTCTAGCAGGTTCTAGTAATTTCTACGGCGTGAACAAAAAAATCGTGACGGCGTGATCGAGTCGATTTCGGTATCGCTGTGTTTGTAACTTCCTGCCGTTGTATCAAAATGCCAAAAATCGACGAGGTAAGTGGTTAGAGTAATGTCCTCCACCTCAACCCGGCGGTCGCTTGTGTCGCTTACAGCGAGTGAATGTTCACAAAGGCCGCAATGAATGCATGGGGAAAACGCGAGCTGTCGCGCGCGTTTCTGCGTAGTCGCAGCACAGCCATTGTTCCTTTGGTTGTAGTTGCTAAATCATTCGAGATAGAAGCGCCAACAGCCGTGGGGGTGCACGTCAAAAGCCTTGTAGTTATTCTGTCAATGTTCAGCTCAGTGGACCCCGTCGTTTCCATTTGCTGCACGTTTTCGAATGAACGTGCTTGTCCCTAGACATTTCTCTAGTGCAACCGAATGGAACTGTGTAATTGAATCGACATTCTAATCTTGTACTGATATTTTGTTTTAGAGTACCTTGGTAACGTAGAGTACCTTGGTAACCTGCAATTTTCTGGTGTTCTGTCAATGTTCAGCTTAATGGACCCCGTCGTTTCCATTTGCTGCACGTTTTCGAATGAACGTGCTTGTCCCTAGACATTTCTCTAGTGCTACCGAATGGAACTGTGTAATTGAATCGACATTCTAATCTTGTACTGATATTTTGTTTTAGAGTACCTTGGTAACGTAGAGTACCTTGGTAACCTAATTTTCTGGTGACATTGCTTTGGTGAGTAATTCAGGAAGTTATGATTGCTGAATTGAACAAAGCAAGCAGAACGGTTGTTCTGAAAGCTAGTATGCAGAAAAGTAATGTAATGTAAAGTCTCGATAGAGAACATTACTTTGCGATATATATGGTAAGACACTGGAAGTGCTGAAAGGATATGCTTGCCGCAGAAAGATAGTGGCTGCAAAGCTGACCCATGAAACTGAACTAGAAGAGTGGGGGGGAGTGCATGTGGCCAGGCATTATCAAGTTACGAATGATGGTTTACCAATATCCCTCAAGAGAGACGTATAGAACAGAACCATATCTGTCGTACTTTCCTACGCAGCAGAAACATGGAATCCTACACAAAACGTTTACCTTATAACTGAAAATGATGCAGTGAGCAGTGGGAAAGAAAATGATAAGCGTATCTTGAGAGACAGGAAGACAGCAGAGCTGGTCAGGGAACAAATGGGTGTCAAGGATATAATAGCTGAAATCAAGAAGAAGAAATGGACATGGGCTAGGCACGTAACTCATTGGCAGGATAACTACTGGTTATTAAGAGTGACTGACTGGATTCCAAGAGAAGAAAAACATGTGCGAGGTAGACAGAAAGTTGGTTGGACAGATGAAATCAAGAAGTTTGCAGGGTAACTTGGCAGCAGCAAGCACAGGACATGGTTGCATGGCGCAATATGAAAGAGACCTTTGCCCTGCAATGAGTGCACTTATGTTGATTTGTGTTATTTACATTGTACGTAAATTACCTTGATTGTTGCCCCATGTATCGGCAGTATTCGACCAATTGGCAAATATTTCCACCACTTACAAAGATTGTTATATGTGCAAATTTTGCTTGGCAGTGTTTTCTAGCTGCAATCATCGAGTCAACAGTGCTAACTTACTTTGTTTTGCTTGCAGTTGGAGCAGGACATCGCAGAGTTGCGCGCCCTCGAGGCTAGTGCGCAACGCAGTCGGGTGCAGCAGATTATGTCCATCGAGGTTCGCAAACTCGAGACAGAGCTGATCCGCGAGCGGGAGAGGCAAGGGGCCGTCGGAGCGCCTGGTGCAGAGGCCAAGCCGAGCGCATCGCAGCAGTCACGAAACACCCCTTTTACAACCAAGATTACCAATTACGGTAAGCCCACACGCACAACCTGGTTCACTAGCGCGGCTTTATGGTTGAGAAACAATTTGCACTTTTAGTACTGCATTGCTAATATGCTGCACAGCTCGCATTTTATGCATTTAGGTGGCTGCAGGCACTAATTTCACTTTTCTAATGAGCGTTTCCCCTAGGTTCGTCATTGATAGACTTGTCTGCTTGTTTGTAAGGGAAAAAAAAAAAAGGTTGCTCCTTTGAGCAGCCTCCTAGTTACATGTCTGCTGCCCGTACAAGTTGTTACAAGTTTGAGATTGCATACACTGGTCCATCTGTTAAGCAACTGTAGATTAAGATACACCTGTCTCAGTTGAGCAGACGATCAAGGTGGTCAATGGTCTGATTGTGACCATTGGTGTTCATGTTCACTAGCATTCATCTGTACATGCATGCCTTTGCCTAACCCTGAAACTTGGGCATAAAAACCTTTTTATAGTTCATTCAGAACTATATAGTGTCTCTCTTTACGTCACATATCTGAACCCACAACATCTGTTCTGCTTGATGCCTTGCAGCGTGGGACCAGTCGGACAAATTTGTCAAGCTGTATGTAACGCTGCCTGGAGTGCATGAGCTTGCCGCTGAAAGCATCAAGTCTGCATTTGGCACACGGTGAGTGAACTTTGCTATTTACTGATACCCAAGACGTGTGTGATGTGTAATGTCAGAACTGATGTCGCAGAAAAAAAAGCAGGCCTAAATTGCCCGTACAGTGCTTTGTATGTACTATGGTAGTTTTGTGGCTGTGCTGTTGCATTGCTGAGCTTGAGGTTACGGGTTCAATTCTTACAGTGATGGCTTCGCTTCAGTACTGTTGGGTAATTTGCAAAGCCACCCATTTACACTTATTTAGTTAACATGATAGGGTGGTCAAGCAAAATCAATATGGGGAGCTAATCTCAAACTGTTGATCCAAACAACATATCTATTTTGGTGTAGCACATTGTTACTCGAAAAATTGGCCAGTCGTGACGTCTTCGGGCCTCGAACACATCGCATCTACACAGCACACTCCTAGTGTTGGAAGTAGACAATATGTGTAGTGGCCAAACACTTGAACAAACTTGTGAAGTCTCTTCTTGCACATGAACATGTCCCACATGCTTGTGAGCAGTGCAAGAAATGCGTGTCGAACTTCCCGGATGCGTATAATGGAAGGCTTCATTAAACATAATTCGAGGGCTAACATGATCACAGAAACAGAGTAAGTGCAATGCATTTGAGATTCGCATGGCCAAAAGCTGATTTTCGAAAGACTGCGTTAGCTATGTTTCAAGTTGGAATATTCTCATTTCACTAATTTTTGTCCAGTGTTTTCAAAGCTCCGTGACATCAAAATGATGCTGTGGAAGATAAACTGAAAACCGTGCGCACTGCTGGCCAGTGTCTCACGAGTTGGCAGCCGATATGAACAGTTCAAGCGTAGCGCGCTTGTAGTTTTGGCTTCACCATGATGGTATTTGTGCATAAGACCCAGTTGTTGCTGCCACCTCCACTGCTGCTGCTGCTGCTGCTCTAAGGATTTTATAGTGTGCAGCATAGGTGGAGCCAATAACTATCACGACGGGTCCCACCTTAAAAGTGCCTCCAAACCGTTTTCGTAATCATACCGTCGTATCAGGCAAAGAATAAGACAGCCAGGTTGGTCTGAAGTGTGCTGCAGCTAAAACAGGCCATGATGCGGAGACTGACAAGCCTGTGAAGTGTTTCGTGCTAGTTGTACCGTATTTACTCGCGTAATCCTCGCACTCGCATAATTCTCGCACCCCCCACATCGCCCAAGAAAAATACAATTTCTTTTTTCCTTGAATAATTATCGCACCCCCGAAAACTGCCCCATTAATGTCGTCTGCTCGTTCCAGCCACTGATGATGATAGCACGCGCCATTTGGCGCCATCTCTTAAGCATCAAGCATACTACTGCACGCAAATCCAATCCAAGCCAAGTCGAAGTGGCCAGTGCGCGTTGCGGCGTGTTTTGTATGCTGTGTCGGTAATATTGGCACGTTATGGTGTGATACTGAAGCTACACGGCTGCTTCAAGTTGCAAGTGATAGATGACAACGGCACTAAACGATGGCAATAGGGCCGCCGGTAGGCCCTTCGGAGTCTACGAGTTTTGTGATCGCTACTGGTGACGGCAGCTGAAAGCCACCAAGAGGCGTTAGGCCTGCCGTGGGCCTAAAACTGGGATTGATGGTAAACTTAATTTCGTCAGAAGGAAACTGCGGACGATTCTGTTAAATAGCCATAAGCCCAATACTGACATCCTACGCTTACCTTTTGAGGGCTCCTGTTGAGCGACGAACGCTACCATTGCGCCCGCAACGCCCACAAGCTTTGCGTATGGTATTCTAATTCTTGACTATTTGCTTGCACTTTTTGTGTCTCAAATAAATCTTGCCTTGTGTTGAATCTCTGCTTTTATTGTTGCGGTAACTCTTAATTAGTACTTCTCAAAGCTTGCTGTTAGTTGCTGGTGTGAGAATCCCGATTTGCGGCCACTTCGTTTTTTTTTTCGCTCGGTACGTTCTCGTGAAAAGTTCTCCCCACGTAATTCTCGCACCCCCCAACTTAGTATCGATTTTTCGGCAAAAAAAGTGCGAGGATTATGCGAGTAAATACGGTATGTCAGTGTCCTATATCCCGTGATATGACTACGTTCTACATCTGACAGCAGTGTATGGTAATCTTGTGGGTCTTTCTCTGCAGGCGGTTAGAACTAGAGGTCAATGGGCTGGCCGGCCGGAATCACCACCTGCTGATCACCAATCTTCTGAACGACATTGCTCCAGACTCTAGCTACCACAAGGTAAGAGGTTGCTATGGTGACGACAGGAAAAGGGAAGTGCAGTGCTCTATTAGTGCATTGCGAGCTCTTTTTTTTTTCTTGGAAAAAGAAAGACTGACTCAAGTTTGGAAGGTGCATTTAATTATGAAGCAAAAGTATAGGGTAAATCTTAATAATCAAAATGTTGCAGGTTTGAGTTCTTTTGACGGCTACCGGGACTGCAATCAAGTTCATCAAGGCCTGTCATTGTACAGTAATAGTTAATTTCACCCTTGTCAATTTTTTACAAAAGAAAATACAGGTGTGACATAGGGTCACAGAAAGCACATGCATTATTTAACGACACAAAACTTCTGGTAATTTGGATGTATTTGGCTGCGCCCTGGTTAAGCGCTGTGGCCACGAAAGTGTGCCACTGTGAAAGGCCGTACATGTGCAACAGAAGAATGTGAAAATGATGTTAGTAGCATCCACCCAAAACGAGGCGCAATGCAATTGGAATTGTCATCATTTCCATCATTCTGAACTGTATGAAAATGACGGAAAGGTCGTGAAGCTTTACGCCTCGCGTACCTGTGCTTACCCCCATCAGTTGCCACTGTGCTGGTGGTTGTGGTGCTTCAGAACAGTGTGGTTGCCGTCCATGATGTGTGGCAAAATAGTTTTTGACTTGACGCATGTGAACTGCGCAGATGCTATCTATGATCATTTTGATAGCAATTACAGTTTTGTCTGCAGTGGCTGCAGTGAACAGTAGTTTTTTTTTTCTGGTCACTTGTCGAGTTTTCACCGTGATGAATAGTTATCAATTAATGCTGTATCGAAAAGGATTTAGCTAGAAGAGCGCAGTTCAGGGTGTGGTAGCTTGGCGACAGCAGATTGAGAAATTAACTAAAATTGTGCACAAGCACCAAAGTTCACCGAGCCAAGATGTCATCATTTCACCTTTAAGTGGCATTATTCAGAAGTGCCGTTTTTGTCCCACCTCATTGCATGCAGGAATGCATAGGAAAACAGCAAAAATAAATAATTAAAGTTGGCCTGACCTACCTAGTGATGTACAAAGACACTTGATTAGGAGCTGCTGCTGCAAGAACTTTTTGTAATATTGTCACCTTGTTGACATTTGTTTGCCGTTGTTTCTTTTTTGTTAGAACACGTTATAAACAGTGGAACATCGGCGTCTCTTCAAAAATGTTCAGAACTGGTGCTGCGCACGAGATGCAAGGCATAATTTGTATTTGATCATATGGTGATAAAGAGTTGGGGCGTATTGCAGGGATCAAATGAGCCTCTGACAACATGCCAGATGCAGAAAAAAAAGGTGAACCGTGTCGTGTACAATACTCATAGATTCAACAGCATTGTCAAATTTTTTAGCACAGTGGACCCTCGGTAAACGAAACCTGAAGGGATCAAGAAAGTATGTTTTTATTAAACAGGAGTTCCGTTTACAGATAGATGAACATGGATGCAGAATACAAGCTCGAAACCAAGTATTGCAGAGGCAATAGTTCCATTTAAGTGGTAGTTCCGTTGAACAGATTTCAGTTTACTGAGAGTCTACTGTATAATGGCAGGCGTGCACATTAGCTCGAGATAACCATGTTATATTGTGACGAATGTCATTTCTAAGGTAATGTTGGCTGAGATCTACGGCTTCGAGTCTAAAATACACAGATACATCTCGAACTGAATCAGGTGAAAGGAAAGTACATTACTTAGCCCTACATCGACTTGTTTCAATCCGTGAGTACTGCACTTCTGTATTGTGCGACACTGTTGGCAGTAGCACTGCACCATGCTTCTTGCACCATGTATGACGGCACAGACATTGCAAAGTTGTGCAACAATTGTGCAGCGTACTCTCGTAAAACGAAACCTAAAGAGACCGAGAAAATATGTTCCATTTAATGGTAGTTTCGTTTACGGAGAGATAAACAGGGGTGCAGAATGTAAGTACAAAGCGAATACAGTAAAAGCTCGTTAATTGGGATTTCACGGGACCGGAAAAAACTGTCCGAATTAACCGAATGCCGAATTAACGAATGAACAGGGAAAACAACATTTAAAATCAAGCTGCAGAAGCATACCTTTATTTGTTGAAGTATTTTGTAATTGTCGTCTGCGTTTTCGCGCAGATTCCGGCTGACATCACAATTTTTCTTAACTGTTCCAAATGGCCAACAGCACGCAAGCTGTCGGGAGTGTTCACGCAAGCGTCCTCTAATATTAACAGCGCTTCCGAGACTTCCCGTGAGGTGTGATGAGGTCGCGGCTGTATCTCCTCGCATGATTCTTCGTCGGAATCGTGGTCTTCATGGGCGCCCGTGACATCATTAATAATCTCTTGATCGGTCAGGAGACCACCATGATCAATCGCGATGTAGTCCTGAAAGGTCACATCTGTGGGAAGGACAGCATCGAAAGTCGGGCAGTCATCGTCGCTAGACTCGGCTGACACCTCCTCAATGCCATCGTCAGCTACTGCTGCATGCTCGGGCCTCAAAAACCGCTGTGCCGAAAACAGTTGGCGATGACTTGCAGCGGAGTGTTTTTCCACACGTGGGTGATGATGTGCACTGCGCCGAGTAAGTCCACTTGATACAACTTTCCAGCTTCTGAGCACAGGATCATTCGCTCTAGCAGGTGCTTGCGGTACTTCGACTTCACATAGTGAATGATACCCTGGTCCATCAGCTGAAGAGCAGACGTAGTGTTGGGCGGCAAAAAAACTACTTTGATGCTCTTCAGTTCGACTGTACAGTTATGGGCACTGCAGTTGTCAACAACCATAATTATCTTGCGGTCCTTCGACTTGAAGTGCCGGTCCAACTGCTGCAGCCAACCGCGAAAAATGTCCGATGTCATCCATGCCTTCTTGTTCGCTGTGTACTCGACAGGAAGGCTTTTGACGTTCTTAAAACAACTTGGCTTAAGGGGGGATGCTACACCTTCCAAAAACTCTTTTATTTTTGCGAGTACCTCAGTCAAATTTGGAGAGCCTATGTAGATTTTACTGCTGATTTCAAAAATCTAATTCTTTTTTTGCTGTGACAATTAGTTTTAAAGATATAATGAACCGCGACTTTTTCAATTAAGGCCTAATTAGCTAATTAACTGTAACTTGGATATTGATGTGCAACCTATAGAACCAATTCGGTATGTCCACAGTGTGCAATAAAGTATAAATCATTGTTCTGGGCTATTTCGAAGCAAAGTTGTGGGATGTTGAATATGACATGAAAAATTTCCCCATCTACACTTGAAACAAAAGATCCATTTAGAGAATTTTCTCCAAAAATTATTACAATAAAACTTACTTTACGACACATCCCCTGTATTTATCTTCGAAACAAAAAAGAAATCGTAATGATAACCCAGATAGAACAAGAGATATTGCTCCGGCATAATGGGAAGCACATGAAAATTGTCGTTTTGAGAAATCGAGAAAAAACGTGGGCACACATTTTTATTGCAGAAGATGCAACAAGACAACCTCAAAACGCACCAGAAGCATAGTCTGAATGCATTCTGTGCTCATGCCTCCTCTTCACTAGCTTCCGGAGTTCCAATGAGGCTGTTCTTTTCTTGTTGGAGACAATGCTGCGACGGTGGTCTTTTTCTCTCGCTCTCCTGGCACCAGTACTTGTCGCATTCATGTCCATTTCAGCTAAGATTGCCGTTGCAGAATTCAAATTGCCCGTGTTGAAGCGCAGCACTGCTTCTGCAACAGCGAACAGGGACGCATGGTGCTCCTTGGGGGCCAAACTCCAGATTACCGAATGTAGGGTCTCGTTGGAGTTCTGCGTTTTGCCGCGTTCGCACCTCTGAAGCAGGGCTCTTTCCGAAAGCCGGGTATAAACCGGTAGTAATGCCTCTGCCACGTCTTTCGGTAGATTGTAGGCATGCCTGGGGTCGGGCTCACCCTTTGCTTTTGCGGCATTGTGCCGACACCATGAAGTTTCACCAGCTGGGCACAGACTGTGGTCCGAGCATTCATCAGTGGAGGTGACGTGGCGGTATGTGGCCATCACAGCCTTTTGCATCTCGCCCACGTCACCTTCATGCGATTTCAGAGCCCGGCCATAATATGTGCTCAGCCTGGTGATCAGCTCACCTGTGAGCCTGCCTTTCCCACCAAGGCCTCTTTTCCCATCGCACTTTTGTTTCTGCACCAGGTTTCTCAATGCGGTGCCCATCCGTTTCTGTACATGATTAATACAGTCTTCCTTCTGCACGTCAATGTAACCATACACCTTGGCGTCTTGTATGGCGCAAAATGTCCTAGAGTCTCCATCAGACAGCATAGTTGTGTAGCGCAGGCCATGGCGTTCAAGCGACCTGACCTCTGAAATAGAATTAGAGCCGCCTCCACTTCCATTTGCCCCGCTTTGCTGTTCGTATTTTTTTGGCATTTGTGGTTAGCCTTCCATTCTTGATAGCCCTCACTACTAGGCTTTGGGCCCACCTCGCAGCCTAGGCAGAAGTTGGAAAGAACGACGTAGTCCAACACGTAGCCACTAAATAATTCGATAACTGTGCCCACGCCGATGTGGGCAGAACGGCCTCGCGTCTTCCACGTGCCGTCGTAGCTAACGGCAATATTGCCCCGGTGGCCGAAGCACAAGTCATCATAAATTGTTCTAACCTTTTCCGCACATTCGCTCATTGCGGACTCAGCCGCTCGCGTTGCAGCGGCTGCCAGCGTGTTCTTCAAATGCCGCTGAAACGTCTTGTGGTGCATACCGCGGTGTGAGATGCCCATTGTTGCGAAAATATCGTTCATTTTCGTTTGGCCGTTGCCGGTAGCCACCATCGCCCTCGAAGCGAGAAGATTTACTTCAAACGGATTGCACGTTTTCGTGCCGTTCGCGCGGGGCGAAGTCCATTCATTCGCGATCTCGCCGCACCTTTCACACTGCACTAGCACTTTCACGGCAAGTCCGTAGTCCCGATCCCCTCTGACGATCGTAGCCGGTCCGTGGCAGGCTTTGCAACACAAGGCACCCATTATCGCGTTTAGGATATCTAGATGCATAAGCAGATAAGGAGCAGCGTGGTCCGAGTCCTGTGCGGTTGCCTCGCTACAACTCGCGGTGAAAAAGTCAATTTTCCGTGCAGTTTCTGGCGCCGATGAAAGCCGGTCGAGCGTCGCTTTCTCCCGGGCATGATTTTCTTCAACTTCGGCGTTTGTCACCACCTTGGCGTCGATTCGTAGTCGTCCGGAGTTCGCTTCACCGTCATCGTCGTCGGAGGCAACGCGCTCGGTCGCACCATCGCTGAACGGCCGCGGAGCGTCGACACATCGTTCGTCGGAGTTAACCAAGGGCTCTGATGACTTCGTAGACTTTCTCCCACGACCTTTGCGTTTCCTGCAACCAAATGCGTGCACGGTCCGATACTTTTTTGCGTTTCCAGGCATGGCGATACGATCAGAAGCTTCAGAGTGCTCTGCCGATTTCGAGGCGTCACAGCGGTAACCCTTTCAAAATGGCGTCGGGTCGCGTATGCAGGCGCAAGCCGCGAGCTTCCAGCCAACCGGAAAGCGCCATTTCAGTCACGTGCGCCGTTTAGCCAATGGCAGTGAGCGCGGCTCTTCGTCTTTGAGGCCCCGTTTTTCGAGCCGGGGAAACGCTCAATGTTGCTTACTGGATAAAAAAACAGCTGAAAACGCGTTCTTTCAAACAAGACCAAAATGGCGCCGATCGAGCGCGTAGTTCCCGCGTATCGTAGAGCCGAAACCTGCGCTATTCGCTCTCAATTGAAAGGGCAGGACGCCCGTTTTCGGTTTTTTAAAGTTGAATAACGATAAAAGTTGATGGTATTCGGCTATGAAATTTTGTAAATAGGTGCGCAATGATGTCGGGAACGCGAAAAGAAGGTCTGCGAAAACTCGATTTTTGGGCTGATTTTCGGTCCCGAAGTGCCGCGTCCCCCCTTAAGCGCCTTCCCGACGACAAGTAGTGGCAAGCCCTCCGTGTCAGTCTTGTTGGCGGCAAGAAGCACAGTTATCCTTTGCTTGCACTTCTTGCCACCAATGCACGCGTCCCCTTTGAAAGTCACCGTCTTGTCGGGCAGAGCTCTGAAAAATAGAGCAGTTTCATCTGCATTGAACACGTCACGTGGTTCATATGCGGCGATGTGCTCCAGCAGCTTCACATTTCTCCACTCGGTGGTCACGCTTTCGTCAACACTGGCCTTTTCGCCGCACACACTCCTGAAGACAAGTTCGCGTCTCTCTCGAAACCTCGCAAACCATCCTTCTGACGCTTTGAACGATTCAATGTTCATCATTGCAGCGTACTTCTCACCTTGCGCCATGATGAGAGGTCCGCTCAAAGGCAGCTGCGCGTTGCGACAGTCAGTAATCCACCGGAGCAAAGCTTCTTCGAGCTGGGGATGAGCTGCGGTTCGCAACCGCTTTCTAGAGGCATGAAACTTCTCGCTTTCGGAGGCTTGTCGAATCTGTTGTTAATTTTTCACGTACGTTCCCAACGTGCTCCGCTTCACGTTGTACTTGGTCATAACCTGCTGTCGCGATTCGCCGTTCTTCAGTGCTTTCAAAATTTCCACTTTAGTCGCCAAGTTCTTCGCGTCGTAGTTCTGCCGCTTTTTCGGCGTTGCCATCACTGTAGCGCACGATGGTGGTGGCATGCAAATACGGTCACAATGGAAGAAACAGAGAACTCAGCAAGAAGAGATGGTTCCGACACGACAACACAAGGGAAAATGGCGTCGGAGGCTCTGAGTGGAGAAGAAAGAAGACGCCTACGTTCGGTGACGCTGTGATCACCCCCACTAGTTGATGATGATGGCGATGCCACTCAGGTTTCGGTTTCACTCCAGTGGTGCCAGCGCTGCTTTATCACACTTTTGTGTAGCAGCAGCCGTCAGCATTTTTCCGAATTAGGCGGTGCGGAGCCGAATTCCAACGAAATAACGAAGGTTTGGTCCCATAGAATAACATGCACTTTGGCCGGGACCAATAGAGCCGTCCAAATTATCCGAATTTCCTAATTAACGGGTGTCGAATTAACGAGCTTTTACTGTATATCAGACAGAGTTGTTACATTTAAGCAACAATTTTGTTTTACAGATTTCGGTTTAACGAGAGTCTACCTAGCTATGCCTCTCCACATTGCTTCTGTGTCTGCTGTCTACGATTGTCTCTAAGTATGCTACCTTGTATAACTGCGTAGAATAGTGTAGAGATTGGGCCCGCTGGCATTTCAATTGCCTTGCTTGTGTGATCACTCAGTAGCCTTGGCAGATTTGTAGTGCTTTCAGTATGTTTACCATGATGAGCGAGTTGTAACTGAATACTTATTGTATAACATCGTAGTAGTAAGCAGTGTCACCTTCATAAAGATTCCTGCTTCCTCATGCAGGTGAAGACCGACATGGTAGCCGTGTTCCTACGAAAGACGTCCGCTGACAAGTGGTCCGACATCAGTGGACTCGATAAGAAGGCAAAAGAACCAAAGTAAGTGGAACAAAATGCATTGTGTTTCTCACCAAAAGCCAGCATCATTCATCTTTCAGTGATGCGAATAAGTGATGGTAGCCGCCTATGGGTTATGGCCATGTCATTGCTCACAAGGAGTTGCAATACTTTTGAGTCGGTTATAGAACTTCGAAACTTTACAATTCTGCTGTCTATTGTTGCGCTTCAGTAAATTACCGTTAAAAACCCAAGTATAGGCCGGACCCACTCATATAGTCTGGGGTGCATTTCAGGGATAGCGAATGCTAGAAGTTTTCACCCTGATATAGGCCATGTTAAACTGAAACTAAATACATTTATTCACGTATTTATTCATCATTGCCCAACGCAACTTATTCCGAAACTTTCTAGTCAGATGTCCTCTGTCTGCCTTGGTAGATCAGTGGCTAGGGTGCGCGGCTGCTGACCCAGACGTCGCGGGTTCGATCCCGGCTGCCGCAGTCGCTATTCGATGGAGGCGAAATTGTGGAGGCCCGTGTACTCGAATTGTCAGTGCACGTTAAAGAATACCAGATTGTCAAAATTTTCAGAACCCTCCACTACAGTGTCTCTCATAATCGTAACGTGATTTTGGGATGTGAAACCACACATAATAATGATAATAAAGAGATGTCCTCTCATAGCCCCTCATCTTCAGGGCTATCGGGGGCATTTGAAGTCTAGCACTTCTTGAAGGCACTGAGTGCCTCAGGAATGCTGACCTAAGCTTCGGCAATCCATGTGTACAGCGTCACTGGCGAGGCCTCTTTCAGCCGTCCGGCAGGAGTCGCTTCCGGTCCTCATTCACTTTAAAAACACGCACTTGACGTGGTCCTTAAGTTGCTTATTTAGGCACACGTAAAGCGGCTGCTGCTGGGTTGCCTTCCCGAGACGATGACAAGCTCGGCGCGTAGGAGTCGCGCATTAGGTGCTTCACATAGGCTACACTGAAACGTGGTGTGAACAAGTAGCGAATCCCCAGCAGAGCTTTGTTGCTCCCGAATGAAATCTGTCAATTTATGTTCAACATTGGAAGGCGCTTCATTTTTCGGCCCCGGGAAACTTCTTTTCAGGCTGCTGCACACAACAAAGAGGACTTGCTTCTGCTTCCCCCAACACTGAATGCTTCGCTCATCTACACCAAACTGCCGCCACGTAGCACAGTTGCCGATGGTTTTGGCACATGAGATCACATTCCTGTTAAAGGCAGCTGATGATGATGATAGTGCTGCACAGTGCCTAAACCGAAACTGAATTCTTGGGATTTGCGTATAGTCTAAGGCCAAAATCTTAAAACATGAAAACTCTAAGAATTCCATACTATACGTGGGTTTCTTCGGTGAAAAGGCCCTGCAATGCCTTTTTATAATTTTTTTTGAAGACTACTCGGATTTTAATGAAAATGCTATGGCTGTCGGGCCTCTGTCGTCCTTGCGAGCAAACGCCATGCCAAAGCAGAAAAACCTTGTCGCACTTTAAGTCAATTTAGTAGAGAAATTTAAGCAATCATTAACTTCTTAAATAACTTAAGGGCAGTTGTTTACATTGGAAATTTGTAGGTTGACAATATGTGGCATACCTATTTTTCAAAAATCTCAAAAGAGACACTGGTAGCTGGAGATATAATAATCATTGAAATGGAGGGGCCCCATCCAGGTTATATCAAAACAAAATGGTCAGGGCATGCAGAGAATGCGCCATTCAGGTTTTGTCAGACGTGGGAACTTGCGTGAGAAACTTTGAAAAAATAAGTCGCGTCGCAGCCAAGCGTGGTCACAAAAAATGCCAAGTCGTCGCAAATACCGAATTGGACGGCTTATTCTTCACATTGATGTGTTACCGTAAATGTACTGTTCTTTCCCTCTCGTGCAGGGTTCCAAAGACCGAGATGGATGGAGGTGACCCAGGCTCCTCGTTGATGAACATGATGAAGCAGCTGTACGACGAAGGCGATGACGAGATGAAGCGCACCATCGCAAAAGCCTGGACGGAAGCACGGGAGAAGCAGCAGGGGAACGGAGAGGGCGGACTTTTTTAGACATTGACATTATGGGGTTCCACCGGTGTGACAAAAGCGTAGGGGTTACGCGGCACCGAGAGAAGGGTCTGTTGGGCACACTAGCTGGTCGTGCTTGACCACACCGCACCTCTAGCATTCTACGTGTAAAGCAATTACAAGACGAAGCAGACTTACGCTATTATATGCAGTTCTTGGTTCCCCAGTTAAATCTGTTCTACCGTCGGCGAGCAAAGCCCCGTGTGAGTGCGCTCGATGAGAGAAGCGCACGTGTTGCGCTGCCTCTACTGAGGAGCCACAGTAGCTTCTGCTGTGTAAACTGCAGCTGTGCATTCGAGAATGTTTGCACACACTGCAGCTGATCTTGCGTTAAGCATCGGTAATTGTCACCTGTCTTGCATGCTTTTTCTTTTATGAACTGTGCACTCCGAATAGTACTTCCGGATTATCGCTGTGATTTGGCATTTTGACGAGAGAGTAAGGATGGGTGAGGTATATTCAAGAAAAGACTGCAAGCAAGGCAGGCAAGAGTATTTTTGCGGTATCGTGATACCTAATACAGAAAGTACATTTACCCTCAAGATTCACCCTAATGGGTGTAAATTTTTGTTATAGCAACACTTGTCGGTGGCATTTTGCTCAAATCTGATGCCGAAAACAGTAACTGTTTGTAAAGTGCGTTTCAGGTGCAGTCATAAAATTAACCGTTTTGTGTGCACAGTGACGAATTGTTTCACAATAAATGTACATAAACTTTCTCTGGCTACCTTTTTTGTGGTGAAACTGCTTTGTGATGTACTCAAACAACAGTACAAAAGACTAATGAAAGGGAGGACATGCCCAACACTGTACCCAGATAACAAGTATGTGCGCATAGTCAGTGAAGAACGATGCAGGTTAGACACTAAAGCATAAAAACTCTGTCACATACATGCATGTGCGAGAAAGACAGTCAACCTTGATTAAGCAGGCTAATCTTTTAGTAGACAACAGAAAGCAGATTTACACACTAGTTTCCTTTTTTTTTTGCTGTGCGAGTTCCACAGCAGAAAGACTGCCTGTTTTGAATGTTGACTAAAAATGACCTTGCTGTATCTGTTGTAATACCTAGTGTAAGGGCAAGTAACAAGAGAATATGCATTTCATCATGTCTGTATGTGCTGAGACGTGCTTTAAACAATGCGCAGTGTAAAGGCAGATACGGCGAGAAGCCTGTTGCGTTGACGCGACGATGCAAGCTTTCTGCAAGCAATGCCCTCGTGGTCTTCGCAGCAGATGGAGGCGCGTTTGGGTTGTCGCTTCATGAAAGGATGTACTACATTTGCTGTCTCAGTGCTCACGATTTACAACGCTCAACCGCGCGACAACGAGCTGCTGTAGTTTCAGCAAAAAGCGGTGCACGCTGAACACAGTCCCGCGCAACGACTGAGGCGGCAGCATCGACGCCTCAGCGCTCTCATGTAATTGCCGGCTATTAAAAGCGCGCAGTAGGCTTGAAGTGGCGCTACGCCACACGCATAGGCTTTTTGTCGGCGATAAGTCATACTGGCGCTCTTTCCGGTAGTCGCCACATCGCTTTTGTTCTTCGCCAATCGTTACCAGAAGAGACAACACCACAATCGCGTGGAAGTCTGAATAATTTGATCGGCCGATTCCATGCTTTTGCAAAACTTTACGTTTGCAGCAGCAGAAGTGTTCATATGGCGACCACCTGTATTATCCACTCGTGATGCATGCTGTCAACATTACTTTTGGTTCCAAAAGCACCTAGTAGCACAGCAATGGCACAAATTAGACAAAAATACCCTTTTGGAGCAGTAATCTCCAGTTGGCGCAATTGGCACAGGTTTCCCATCACTGAAATAGGCAAACCATTGTTTCACGAGTAACGCCATAGTTTGCATGAGCATACTTTCATTTGTCACCACTGTAGATCTAATTTCCTTTCAATTGCTTATTCAACTGTTGCATGCAGCAAGGTCACTTGGCTCATTTTAGCTTACTGTTCAGCTGTAAAATCACGAGGACGCATTCCATACAATCAACTTCGTAGTGATGAAACAGCAGCTCTTCCCAAGTTATCTTGAACGCTCAGGTCATTCACTCAACGCTGCATAACCAGGGTGAAAAGGCCAGCTATGCCAGCATTATAACAGGTGCACCTCATTCTTAACACTTTGCCTACTTGTATTATAAGCTTCATATGCCCACATTATGAATGTTCAACTTAGGGCATATAAGCCTACAGTTGTGAAAACTGTCTCCCAAAGCACTGTGGTGGACCTGCATGCCCACAGAAAAGCTACAGATCATGCCAGAGGTTGAAAGGTTGTACTGAAGGCAACAATGAAGCTACTGTTTAGGACACGTAATATCTCCTTTTTGCCATGTGGCAAACAAAAAAGCACACAAAAATATTACTTTGAAAGCAAACATATGCAACACAGGGCTGAGTACAGGTGTCTGCAATTTTGCACTATATCTCGTTTTTTTGTGCTGCCTAACTCGACGCGTAGATGTATGGGCGCTTGCTCCAGTAGCCACCATGATTATGATAACTGCACAATGCTTCTATGGTAATGCTGATAATGTGAAGTCCAGCATTTCAACATGCTGCATACACATTAGTGCAATGTTGCTGTTGAGTAACATTATAAGGTCACCCAGCTAAGGAAAGTTATTTCAATGACCATATTTCTAGTCGAATGGTGGAAGCAGTGAACGGGGCATTAACATATTGCGAACACAATGCCATGCACATGCTGCGTAGTGAAATGTCTTAGGTTTCATACCCATTGTCAGTGCTACGGGTAATATTCTTGCAAAGAGTGCATTGCTGAGCCTACAGATCGATACAATGTCCAACAAAGCACCAAACAGAGCTTGTTTATGCACTTGTTCTTTCCTTGCCATCTTTTAGTCCTTCGATTAACCGATCTACTAAGTGCATTGCACCATGAACGATATGGTGTGCCTATGCTCCTCGAAATATTGTTGACAAATCCAAACAAGCAAAAAGCGCAGTATGAAAGCATTTTATTATTCAGAATAGTATATATATATATATATATATACACATCTATACCAATGCAGGAAGAAACAGTTTTTGACCCTACACCTATGGTCGATGCTTAAAGCAGGAGGGATCTTGAATGAGCACACCACAGCCACCATCCTTCGCAGAGTGCTAGCACTACAGAATGACAAAGCTCAAACTCACTTCAAGATTGCACAGAATTACAACTTTGGCTCTAGACAGGAGCTGGAAGATGCATACATTTTTTGTGTTTTACCGTGACATAGACACGTGCGTGTTAAAGGGTCACTGAAAGGTACATTGTGGCTTCATGTGGTATACGGGAGGTGGACGTCTCTCTAGGCCAACTATCGCCATGAGTTTAGTACATCATCACCTACTGGAAATAACTGCCTAGCTGCTGGTATATACCCGGAGAGATGTGACTAAGTTAATGGAGGTAACATAGCATTACTTTCCTAGTTGCAGCGACGGCTGTCAGGAACTGAAACAGTGTGTTTGTGCTCTGTAGAATACCATGCAGACTAACGCTTGAACACTGTAGAATGATTCTAAAATATCATCTTTAGTGTCCCTTTAAGCTGGTAAACATGACACAACATCACAAGAAAACATCACAACATGCATACTCACAACCTATTGAGCTCGCACTGCAATAATTCTAAGCAGCAAAATGCATTGACAATCAACAATGCCTTAAAGAAAACAAAAAAAAAAAGGCAGCAGGCAACTTTTTGTATAGTGATGCCACACAGCAGCAGAAAAGCGTCATTGTATGAGAAGAACCCAAAGTACTCTTAAAACACCACAGAGATTACCCTACATATGAAATCTTCTGCTAGGCAGTATAGTTTAAACCTAGTAATGCAGTGGGATGCCGCTCGCTTTTCACATAAACGCCCAACATAACGAGCGCCGATGTAAATCTCTCACACATGCTGAATGAACTTGTAATACAGCTAACTACTATTAATAGAGACTATATACGCAAATGTGATGTTGCTCTAGAGTTCCAGCACATTTGTCAGCAATAAAAAATCAAAACAATAACAATTGCTTCAGACAGCACATTTGCTGTGATTATCGGTTTTCACTTTAACATCACGACCACCTGTTTAAATTTAAGGCATATTCGTGCATCCAGCCATCAGCATGGCTTCTGGTCTCTACGCGGGAGCATGCAAAACATCACAGTTAACACATTTCTTTGGGCTAGAGGGCGAGGCGTTGCACGTAGAGCGTGCTCTGAGAAAAGCTTACAATAACACTGCACACACAAAACATGTCTTTTAATCCACTTGCATGACATGCACCTATGGAGGACATAACACTGCAGTGGACACTACGGCACAACGCTTAATGAGTGTCAGCTTTCGAGAGATGGCTGAATGCAGAGCATTCAAAGTGACAACGATGTCGAAAATTTTGTTGCACCTTCTCCTGCTTCAGTAGAAATTATTTTGGTTCAGAGATCGCACTACCAAACAAAAAGCACAAGCCAAATTGTGTTGACTCCTCGCAATACCAGTACAAAATCATTACCAAGCAAGAGCAATAGTATCCACAATCCTTTAACTAAATTACGAGGGTAAACGCATTGTCTGTAACAAAGTGAAGAAGCAGTTGGGCTTAACTTCATAAGCCATCCCACATATCCTTCAAGTGCAAGGGTAATAAATTCATATCAGTAAATGATATTAGAAAGCAACACACACAAATGCTCAACTAAAACGAATCCGCCAAGTTTATTTGACAAGCGTCTCTCAGTCCCAACAATGGTTGACATAGCAAGAGGTTGATTCAAGACCCACCAGAAACACACAAGAAAAACATGTATGCATATATACGTATACTATATGTATAAATAAAAAATACCATGATGCAATACCCATCAAAATGCAACAGAATGCTGCATGCACCGTACTAATAGCATAATAAATAACATGCAACAAATGCAGATAAGTTGTGTACTACATAAATATATACGCACAAATTTCTAAACATTTGGGTACCTCGAGTGCAGAGGGCGCTGCCTATACAGCTTAATTCAAGCCCTCCTCAAAAGAACTCATTTATACTTCATCGCGGTTCCCCTCAGTTTAAACGTAGCTCCTAGCGCACTGTAGTACGAATGCTTACAAATGCGCAAGATGAACTACTAGACTGTCGTGGCGCAGCAATGAAGAGTGCGTTACTAGACAAACACTGCAACACTGCTAGCACGATTCAAAACATGGAAGCAGCAGCTGAAGAGTTCGCACCACAACTCATCCCTGAAATAACAAATAACCCCGTACACTGCAGTGTAAAAAGTTGACGCGGCAGCATGCAGAAAATAGCTACACTCAGAAAACTTGAAAGAGCAGCATTGATACTAACTCGAAGAGTACGTGTAGAATTCGAAGGCAACGTGCCATCGTCGAAGCTGCGATCCATAAATAACTTACACCATTTGGAGCCCATCTTGTCCCTGTGCACTTATCTTGAGTGCCTGTCCTCTGTTCAATGCCACATGTCTGACTCTTCCTGGTCGCAAATGGCACGCACATTTTCAATGTCCTGTAGCACACTTCAGTAATGAGCGCAAAATTTATCAAGAAATGCAAGCCGGACACACGACACCATTTTTGGAATTCGGGAATGACTGAAGGGTTTTAAATCTCTCTTTAAAGCTTAGTGGCTCCACAAATGAACAAGGCCCAAATGTAACACAAACACGACAATTTCTGGATAATACACGTAAAGTTGCTGCATGGCGTCTGAATTGAAGTCCACGTGTGTTTCATGCAGTGGGACACGCGCGATGTGATGCAGGTCGTTTGGTGCCTAAGTAGATTCAAAGCTTGTACAAAAATTTGACTAACTATGAGAGGCTTTGACATATTATGGTCATGGCATGTATAAGATTCCAGTAATGATAGGTTACAAAGGCTTCAACATCTAGCAAAATGTGGCAGTATGAGACATATTCACACAATATCTGAAATGTTCGTGTTCATACACAATTAATACGCCATCTCATTTTCAGGGTTGACGTGAAGAGATATGTTGGCCATTTCTTTAAAAAATTTGGGTACTCTTATGAATGCGGGTTGACACTTAGGGGAAACTTGAATGCGGGTTGACACTTAGGGGCATGTGGCAACTGCGCTGAAAGTTGCGATGTGCCATGTGCTTCCATAGCATGGGCAACTTTCAAAATGATTCAGCGACATGCAGTTGCTGTAACTGCATGTTTGCTGAACCATTGCATAACGACACCTGTGTGAATATGTTTTACACTGTAACATATTGGCATGAAAAAAAAGGGGGGGGGGAATTGGGTGGGGAGAATAACACAGGTGAGCACACTCACCTCACTGCTAGTAAGGCAGACATTTCGGTAGATGCGTCATGACTCGTCAAAATCGAACCCGAGTGAAACACATTTTTCAGTGAACTTGGAAGCGTTCATGCTTAATCTTCTTTAGGACAGAAAGTGAGATCGCTAATGTCTTCTTCAACAAATCGCACTGGTTTCCACCAAAGGGCTCGGATGATTGGACAGAGCACCCCAGTGCCCACCGGTGCGATCTGGCGACAATGCCATTAGTCACACGTATTACTGGCAAGTGCCAAAGAAGAATGACAGCAAGCCCGTCTTTTCAGGCAGGTCTCACATGAGCAGCTTTTGTGTGGCTCTGTTCTTTTCCCGAAGATGCATAGCGTCACTGTAAATAATAGCCAACCTCCAAGGATCTGTATGAAGTCTAAGGTTGAAATGATAATTTTTTTTATTAATAGCCACTTATCTATTCCAAAATGTCATCCTCCATGGAATAAGTGCATGCTTCAAGTTGTGCAGAAAATGAAAGAAACCGTGATCCCTCAAACTTTAGCCCCTTTGATTGTGAACGATTTTGAACAGACTTCGGACAACAATGGTGAGCTCTCACAAAGGCAAGGAGCTTTCGTTCAGTTTCTGACCACCCTTCAAGAATTATTCCACAGATTCCGATTCTACATTCACTGCATGCTAAGTGTAAACTTCTTGGAGAATTAGAATGGCAGGTGTGCGCTCACATGCGAAAGAGAAGCAACAAACATACTTCATCAAAAACCAATGTTAAACAAATCATTTCGCAATCCATTAGCTATAGAGCACCGTGTGTGGTTGTTCCAAGTGCTAACTAGATGAATCAACATTCTTGTGAATGTCAAGCTACTGCACATGTAAGTGTGAGAAAAAAACTGTGGACGGTTTCCTTGTACTCCTGCAAACAAACATCTCAACCTGCTTCATTACAACTTGGACTGATCCCAGAAGCCGTGCTGTCTAATGCAGCACCTCACAATGGGAAAAATCAGTATGCTTTTGTCGTAAGCAGTGTTTAAATAAGCATCTCTTCATAGGTATCACCACACACATGGAAATAAGTGGTAGCACTATCAACCGCTCCTTTCCAAACATTCTGTACTCTATTATAACAAGTACTAACGATTTCGGTAAATTTTGTGGAATATGTGTTGATCCCATGTAAGTTGTACTAGATTTTCATGACAATCTTGTGGACAACACACGAAACATTTCAACACGGATAATTCACGTAATTCATTAGAGAGTGCGGCTGAATGGAAACTCGAACATGCTCTGCGATGTGCTACTTTGCAGCAGATGTCTGGAAGAGCCAACTTAACTTGGGATTACAGAAGAATGTATGTGACTATTATTAAATGGTTAAGAGCCCCGAGTTTGTTTTTTTTTCTTCCTGATAGAAGGACGGGGCCTTGCGAACATCCAGAAGACATCTGAATTCACTTGTATTAGAGACATCCCAATAATTGGAAACATAGACCTACATCCTCTAGAAAATGTGTGCAATAAAGTTTAGAATGCCACACATTGAAACAAAGCGAGTGCAAACACTTCAAAACTCGGCAGCGTAGCCTGAATCACACATTGATAAGTGCACGCACTCTCTGCCAACTTGCCCTCATGTAGAGTTAAAAGTCGCTAATGCCACAAGATAATCTTGAAAAACTAGATGTTAAGACTTCAAGCTCACTCATGTGATACATATACATATAAAGCACATAAAAACACTATAAAAACTGAAAGAACAAGGGGTCAATGACATGCTGGATTAGTAAACGAAACTCTGCATTTGTTCCTTTTTCCCGTGTCTACACTGTCTTTCGCAATGCCAGCACTATAACCACCACACAGACCTCTGCTCTTGTGCTCAAGGTTTCACGCAACTGGTACCATGATCAGGGTTCTTGCTCATTTACATGACAAAAATTTAAGGGTTTTCAAGGACTTTCAAGGCTGTGTCTGTAAATTTTCCAAGGTCCACATTGTCTGTCAGGAACCCAACTATAACATATTTCAGGGCAGGATGGAGGCTTGAAATATTTAGAATTTGTCGAAAAATGGTGACATCACTGGAATAGACATCGAAAACCGGCTGAAACTGCATTTTCTTTTTGGAAAACTTTCGATAATAATTGCTTGGAGTTGCATGAATAATCACTTTCAGTATTCCTGGATTTCACTGTCCCAGTAATCACTACTTCTGAATTATCATATGAATGTCTACTGTCTCTTGTTCCTTGGCTGGTCTTGGCAGTCCACCTAAGGGTGTTTGATTTGATGATACATGTCAAGTCCCTAGTTGTCTCAGCTTTTCCTGCATACTATTCTATCTGTTAATTCCTTAAAAGTGGCTTCTGGTTTCTTTTTCTTTTTTGTTAATATTCCAACCTCCTCCTCAATGAAACACATCCTTTTCCGTTTCTTATTGTCCTGCCCCTGACTTTACTGAGTTTCCAAAAAATGCAAGGTGTTGGGCTTCTTTTGTGATGGGCGCATTACTTATGCCACCTGCTGTATTGTAAATAATGTGCTGTGAATTGTGTGAAAATGTTTATCAAAAAAAAAAAAAAAAGGAAATTCAAAGACTGTCAAGGATTTGGAAAATTCTAGCACTTTCAAGGCCTTGAAAACAAACTTTTCTAGTTCAAGGGTTTTCAAGAGTTTCAAGGCCCCACATGAACACTGAAAGGCTACTGAGACAGCAGGCTTTGCGAGTGGTTGTTGCTGACAGTTATGGTTAGCATTCAATAAAATGATACTTTTTAATGCAGTGTAGCATAAACTGTGTGTACAGCGCAGAGCCTACATCGCAAGAGTCATGAAATGCAAAGCAGCACAAGGTTAGCGCTAAGCTGTCTGCATTTAGAGTGACTACTCAAAAAGCCATTCTGAAGTAGGCACCACTGAAATAAAAATACAATCAAACCTCATTATAACAAAGTTGCATCATAAACAAAAATTGGTTCGTTATATCTAAGCTTGTGTGAATAGTGAATTTCAGACTCGAAGCGAATTCAAAGGGAATAGTGATTTTGGTCGAATAATTTCGAATTGAATTCGAATAGTACATATGACATATGAAGAAAAATAGGCATATTTATTATGACCCCACTAACCTGCACAATATTTTTTTAAATGTAACATTTTAAAGTTTATTCTACTCAGAGCATATAAGCCGTCATAACAAGCTTTTAAACTTAATAAAATGAACTGATTTGAGGGTAATATTTTTATTTAAAGGAGCCATGCGACGCTTTTTCAAGGAAACATGGAATGGATTCACTTAAGAAGCTTGTTGCCTCATGAAGGGGAGCTTTGTGGCAAAGTGGATTTTTCCTGGATAGGTGTTTTCACGGTTTAGCACCCCTACACTTTAGTGAAACCACCTGTACATTCGGATTAATATGCATTTTTTCGTTCTTTGCTAATACTTCGAAATTTTCAATAATTTAAATTCGAATCGAATTTGAATACCCTACTATTCGTTCGAATATTCAAAGCATTTGAATGCTTCTTTCTTTAACATGCACCTAAATCGAAATACAGCGGTTTCTACCATTTTGCCTCCATTGAAATGTGACCACTACAGCCAGAATTGAACCCACAACAGTTAGTTCACATACCACTGAAAAACAAGAGCTACAAGACAGATGTTTCTAAGCTACATTAACTGAGGAACACACGTTTCACTTGAATTCATTGCAGCCATATTACCGGTGCTTTCAACATATCCCTTCTTCTGTTTGTTCTTCTAAGCTTTTTGGATAGCCGTCTTTTCTGAGAGAAAAATCACTTTCCAGGCCTTGATCATGCAGCTGGCGTCATCCGCCTTGGACTCTTATTGTTGCCCATCTAATCCAGACCCATCTCAAAACTCAGTAAATATGCTCAAAGCAACAAATACATTAATAAATGAATGATCAATAATTATACAACAAAGAAGCCTGGCTACAGACAATTTTTCGACATGAGGGTTCACCTCTGTAACAGTAACAACTTGTTTTTTTTTTTTTTTTTTTTACAGTAGAAGCATTTTTAAAAAATGTTGCATGTCACCCTGCCGAAACACTGGCTCCAGAGCAAGGGTTCTAAGATTAAAGTGAAAGTGCTTTCCGGTAATGTTGGTGAAAGCGCGCACAGACCTGGCGTCTGCCAAAACTGTGCCCAGAAAGCATGTGACCTCCCCAATGGAACTGATGCTGGTGCAAATAAATGCTGCAGGGACCACTTGAATTCACAGCGTAGGAAAGGGATGTTCCCACAGCAGAAGGGGATTACCTGTCTCGAAGGGGAGAAAGGAAGGTACGTAGGAACAACCGGGGCACTTAAAAAGAAATGCTTCCGTGTTCTCGCCTCGTAAGAATACGCTTACAGATCCGCTGCAACTTGTTCGCCTACTGCTCATGATTTGAATCTTCATCTAGCTGATGGGATAAAGATGACAGTGTTGTTTTAAATGACAGAGCTAAAAGCAGTCGCTGTCAAAGCAGCCTGCTCGCAAAGCTTTACATTACCCTTTTAGGCGCCCTGGCCAGCCACTCCAGGAACATCAGTCAGGACTGGTACCATGAGGAATGACAGGAGAAAGGAAAGATGCGAGGACAGAAGTTACACGCACATTTTGTGCCTACGTCGGCAAGTACGGCTTATGGCATCGGAAGTTGCTCTTGCCGTTCGGGAAAGAGACGAGACCAGAACTGCACTTTTTCGGAGGCACCCCAAGAGTGACTGCTAGCAAATATACTGCTCACACGCATGAAAAAAAAGACTCGACAGCTGCCTCGTTTGGATTTGCCTGTAAAAGAAGAGAAAAAGAGAGAGGAGACACACAAATGAGGGACAGGTTCTGTCGGCACCGAAAAGTGTTGAAGAAACATTAAAGAAAAAAAAATTTTTTTTCCAAGTTTTTTTACAGTCCCCACGTTTGCGGTGAGAAGACGCATGGTAAGTGAGGAAATACACGAAAAGAAAATGTGGGCAGCAATACTATGTTGGAATTCCCACACCAAATGCTGTGATGTCATAAATTTTGATGGCACCTACTAGGTCATATGCAGTTACCAATTGGTAATACAGTTAAACCCCTTTATAGGAGGCATGCTTTGGGCAGCGATTCTTGCCCCTTATATTACATGTCTCTAATAAGAAGGATACCTCATATGCAAGACTATTTTTCACTTAATTTGTTATAACCAGTATTTATTTTTATCCGGTTTCGTTTATCGAGGTTTGAGTGTAAATTTGGCAAAATGGCGATTAGACAATGGATCTCATGTGATACAATTGGTCCCGGGTATACCGAACTTGGATATATCGAATTATGGACTATATCGAACAGCCGAAAAATCCCCTTGAAGAACACATATAAAAGTATGGGGCACAGGTGCGCGCATATCGAACACTTGTACGCCGACATATTCGATATATCGAACGGTGCGCTGCGCTGGAGCCGCGACACTTCAGTCTCATTCCAAGATAGTTACGGACCCTTTTCATGCGCTCATCCAAAATGTGATCGCGTTGCTTCAACAAGTTCGCACAGCGCTTATTCAGTCGCGTTTCAAAAGAGTTACGAATCCTTATTGTGTGCGCGGGTGTCGAGAATGTGATTGCGTTGCTTCAATAGATTTGCACAGTGCTTGGGAGCGCACCTGTTCGTCCAAGGTGTGGTAAAACGTTTTTTAATAAGCATGCCAACATATTGAAGCACCAAATAAAACTTACACGATAGTCTGCACAGGTGGCTTCGGCCCAATGTGCATTCTTAACTCTTTTGTTACCGCGCAAAAAGGATTATTTTTCATATGTCTCAGGAAGATCGTTCTTGCCAGTTTGAAAAGCTCTCCAGCACGCATTGCAGCATACCAAACTTTGCAAAATGACATGTTCTTTTCAAAAAATATATGTTGTACAGCAACAAAAATAATTTAGAATGAATAAAAATGAAAAAAGTGTGTGTGAAATTTTCGGTTGCCAGCTGATAAACAATGCAATAAAAACACTATATGTACACAAATATTCAAAACAAAGAAAATTCAGAACATACATCTTGTAGATAAATGACTTAGGAAGAGTACAAAAACTATTGAATGTTGTACAAAATGTTTCTTTTCACATAGACAAAGAAAATCGGAGCCAAGGTGCTGCTTCGTTGCTCATGCCATGCGGTGAAGCATTGCATTTTTTTTTTAAAGCGAGATACAAGTGTACTCGTACTATTTCCTCAGCAAACTTTTGTTGTCTTGCAATAAGAGCCTTCAAGTGTTCCAATATAGACGGATACCCGTGATGTGTATAATCCCTCTATAAATTATATGTTCAATGAACTTCGCTATTTCATCTAACGTTCCCTCTTTCCATGAGCCACCGCACTCCGCATAGGTTGGCGTTCCAATAAATGCATCCAAGCATATTTCTTTGCATTTTTGCACATTTAATATTAAAGAATGACAATATCGCGCTCAGTTATAAAATGTCCTGCACAGCTCCGCAGTCAGGGCCAAGATGTGCTATGGGGGCCTTGCTGCCGTTAAGAGAAGCTCTGCAGCCAGCACCAGCACACCTCGCCCTAGCGAAATGTGGACCACGCAAATGACCAGAGTAGCTATAACATTGTGCACAAAGGTCAGAAGCTATACGCACTTGCGATGGAGGAAAAAACTGGGATATAAACAAAACAAACTCGTGAATGATGCAGATGTCTGAGGCTGACGCAAAACATAGTCGCCGTAAAACTTGAAGCTGAGGTTCCGTCATTCTCAAACTGAGCTCGTCCTCACTCAATTCAGGTGGGGTTGCGAGACAGTTTTCTTTTTAGCAGTGTATGTGTTTTGCAGCGCTGGTGCGCACCCACGCGTGTGACGACAATGTCATAGCAGAACTAGTGACACTAGATGCAACCCCGAGTCTGATATAATAATACAGTGGAGCCCACATATAACGGCCCCACTTAAAACGAACTTTCGCTTACAATATCCGCGTGACCGTGAAAATAAACATTGGTTCAATGGCACAAAATCACACTTACAACGAACGTCTCCGAGCGCCGCTGAATGGTTACAGTGAACGGAGTCAGCAGTTTGCCGACTTCTTGGGAAGCCCATTTCGACCACCGATCAGGCATCAGCGAGGTGCCCATACATGCTTATTGTTAAACGCCGACCCTGCCTCCGCGACCCTCTAGTTGCCGCTCTCCCCAACCCTTGGAGGAAGGAAAGCTGTTTCATTTCTCCATGCCCCGATCGTTTTTTGTTACGCAACCCTCCGTGCTTTGTCCCCCCCCCCCCCCCCCGCTACTCTGAGCACCCCGCATCGCCAGACAAGGTCAAAGTTTTCACACTGCCACCAATCTTTCGAAGACTGGTCGGCCATTTAACCTGCTTTTGATCGCTGGTACTGTCGTTGGCGTTGCCGACCTGGAGTGACCAGACCATTCGCCAACATCGTCGGCCACTGGCTGTATCCGATAGTGTGCGTCTAGTGCATGCGCGTACTCTACCCCACGAACTATGATAATTTGCGATTCGTTTCGTGTTTAGGACTTGTTCTCGCTCACTTCGCACTCGACTCAGCATGCCTTCTGCGCACATGCTGAAGCGTGAAAACGACTGTTAATTTCCGTGGAACGAATAGCAAAATATCGAAGTTCGTGAGGCCACGTAAACCCGCCAGTGCAACAAAACGATTTTTTGACCACGGCCGCCGATTTTTCAAACACCGCCGCGCGCACCGATCCAGGCAGCCATGCTTTGACTTCTGCGCGTGCAGGCACACTTTTCAAGTTTTTCTACATTGGAATTTCGCGGACCTTTCAAGCAAGCTACCCAACCTGCCTCTTTCCCGTGTGTTTTGGTTTTCAAGGTCGCCCTCCCGCCGCATCCTCCCCTCTCTTTATCGCAACTGCTTGCCCTTTTCTCGCAAGTCTGCTCTCCTCTCTTGATCACAACCCCTTCGCCCGTCTCCACCGCTCCGCGACGCCTGCCATGCTGGCTCGAATTAGTTTCGTTTTCTGACTGGAAACGAGCCCAGAGCTGTTCCAAGCGCTCTGGCACGTGTGTCGCATGTGCATGTCTTGCTCGCTCTTGGTGTGCTTGTGTGGTCAGGATGGCAGACGGTAGGACTTGCACGCTTTTTCCTGCCACTCAACAAAACGTCCAAAGTGTGACCACTTGGCTTGAGCGCGTTAGGTGCCGCGTTGCGAAGCGCTTGCTCATAGCTGTTGACCGCCTAACAACCAACTTGCCGCTCGGGCGTCCCGGTATTCAGCTGTGGAGATGCTGAATATTTCCTGGGCGGCGGTGACGACTACATGCGCATAAAACTGTTTTCGCGAGGCCGACTTCGTCGAGGTCGGGCCCGATGCCGATCCTGAAGCTTCCGAACTGCGGCGGCGATTTGTGGCAGCGCGTCGTCGACTCCTACCTGGGAGAGTGGGTGGGACATCTGTTGCGATGATTTAATTACGGCCGATGATGATGCCGACCGCACACATTGGAGCATAGTAAATGAAGTACGTGGCGAGAGTGATTTGGAGGAATCAAATTGCGAGAACGACGAAACTTTGGAGCCAGTGCCTCATGCAGCTTATGCCACAGGCCTCGGCGAACGAGCACCCTGCCGTTTTAATTGAAATCGAGATTTGAAATCGAGATCGCCCTTATCGCTTCTGCTCTTCGAACCACGTGCATCACGGACTTTTTGGGGCAAAAAAAGGTTGTGTTTTCACTTGCAACTTTTCTAAAACCTGTGTTTCATTCACTACGAACTTCGGGATACAGGGACCGGATGCCTCGTCACGCTCAGGTTCGCTATAAGCGGGCTCGACTGTACAAGCAAAACCAAAGCTGCTGGAAACTGTCAGAGGAGGCCACCTTGACATTTTAAACATGTGGCGGACCTTTGTAAATATTTTTTGTAGAAAAAATTTTCCCTGACTCCTAGGAACAGCTCTCTATTGAATAGCTAAGAAATTTCTTGCAATTATTACTGCTCAACATTTTCAAATAATGAACCTGTCACTTTATTTTAATATTTGGCTTGCAAAGGTTCTTTTCATTACAGAACTTCAATGTTACTGTAGCATAATCACAAGGGGCACACACTTCTGTCAAGTGCGCCAGACTAGTGCATTTTTCCAATAACACACGCACATTGGTAGGCGCAAAGGTTTCTCGAAAATCACTATGTTGCCAAAACGGGCAAATTCGAATTGATTCTGAAAGTTGAGTGACTGGACTAACTACTAGAAAGTGCTAAGTGCACGAAAAACCAATTCAATATGCCAACCGACGATCCCAAAGCATCGATCACGGGTGATCGATTTGAATAGGCGTGGCAACGAAAGAGTTAAGCTAATCCCGCACTCTGACATGTATTCCCCAAAAACAGCCTTTAAGATCCGTTTCCATCGGCGCCCCATGGAACAGTGGCTATTTCAGATCTCGAAGGCCATGCATTTGCGGATTGTACACCCCTGGCGGTCTTTCGATTTCTTTTTTTTTTTTTGCTGCTTGTTTCAAAAAGCTCAAGTGGCATTGCCACCGCTGAGAGTATGTTTCAACAGGAGTAGGACCCCGTTGCAATCGTTGCTTTTTTGTTTGTGTTGTGCTGGCTTAGTGTTCTGTCGCCGACTCGCCGCTCTCACGTTTCCAACTTCTGAGCGGCATCTCTTGGCCCTGGTAGCCATGGACCCGAAGAAGCGTAAGAACTTAGACTTGGTGACCAAAACCAACATCATTAGGTGAGTGGAGGCTGGAAGAAGAAGTCGTCAGTCGCAGAAGCTTTCGGCATTCCTCG